CCTATCCCCCTGTGTGCCTTGACCTCCCACGACTACTAAAGAATAGGGGTTTAAGGGTAAAATATAAAATATCGAATTATTGTTAAATTTAGAAAATAAAAAAGGATTTCTCTAATAATTTGCAAAAAGATTATATAAAATTTTAAGATGAAGATCCAACTCGTTTATTAAAAAAAAAAAATAGTTTTTAATACCATATTGGAATCTCATATTCTACATTGTCTTTTTAAAAAACCTTAGGATCGGAACTCGGAGGTACAACCCAAAAGCTACGAATAAAAAAGAAATAACTTAGGCCGAAACTTGAGTTTCCCCTAGGTGCATTTTTTTAAAAATAAAAAGAAAATAAAAAAAAACATGAGCATCAATTTCAAAATACAAGTGATATATTTTAAAGGGCTTTTTATGAAAAACGCCTTACTAGTTTCTATTTTTAGACATTGGACATACTGAAAGTTTAGTTTTTACTTTAGGTTCCTTTCTTTTTGTGGAGGGGTAAATGGATAATTTTTTTCCTTTTTAAAAACAAAATTCTAGGGTCCCATTTTTTCCACATTTTTTTCTCGTAGTTTCTTCCTCTTCCCACCTCATTATCTCTCTTAAAAACCTAATTTTTAAGCTCTTATCTCTCACATTCTCTCTCTAAAAACAAAAACCATTATTTCACATTCTCACATTCTCTCTCTAAAAATCAAAGTTATTATTATCCACTATCATATTCTCTCTCTAAAAACCCAACCCATTCTTCCCTCCTCTCGTACTCTATAAAAAATCCAATCTTATTTTTACCGCCACTCATGTTTTCTATGTAAACCCCATCTCTCATTCTTTAGAGAGAGAATGAGAGGGGAAAAATGTGTTAGGTTAGGAGAGGAGAGAAAAAAACCATTAAAAAAAATGACAAATTTTGTTTTCAAAAGAGGGGCAAATTGGTCTATTTATCTTCCTATAAAAAAATAGTTGGTCCAGAGTCAAAAACAAAATATTTTGAGCTCTTCTTTCGTTAAAAAATATTATTATAAAGCTTTTCTCTTAAAAATTATTATTTTTAAAATCTGCGGGGAAAATATTAACTAATATTTCTTTTTAATAAAATTGAATATTTATTACACAAATAGTAGAGATGAAAATTGCGGGGAGAGATTTCCACATCGCCACGATGGCGTTGTGCGGGGAGCTGCTTCTCTTGCTTTCCATTCTTCGGACGTCGTGGAGCGGCAGCAGTAACACACGTTGGACCCCACCACCACCCATTCCCATTCGCTTTTCTCGGCCCTTTTTCAAAAACCGACAAGTAACCACTATTCTGTGCTTCTTTTCACTTTGACACGTGCACATCATCCCACGCGCTTGTCTGCTGACGTCACTCTTTCGGTATGGGACAAAAATAAGATCCGGCGGGTTGGATCTGTATCTAAGATTTAGACCTGAACATTATTTGGATATGGGTTTGGGTCATGTAGACCTGAACCGTACCGGAATAGTATTTATATTTAAATAGTATTTAATATATAATATTTAAATAAATATAACTATATATTTGAATTATAATCTTTAAAGGGTGTGGTTTGTATAAAGTCAAGGCTCTAAATAATCAAAATAAGATACCTTTGAATAGTATCGAAAGATGTTGTTTCAATATGGGAAATAGTTGTGATGGCCTGAAAATCTATCTTCATCTTTAAGTATAAAATTTGACGGTTCAAAAATTGTGTAGATCGAGCAGATCTATGAATTACAAAATGTACTAATTCCAAGACTTGAAATTCATGTTTTCTCATGTCCATGCATTTTGAGGTTAAGATGATCAATTTAAGGATTTTTGGGCATCGAAACAACGTCTTCTAATGGAATTTATTAGGTGAGCCTTAATTTGATTGTTTAGGGCCTCACCCTTATATAAAATTTATTCCATATTTAAAATATTTAATTATGAATAAACCAATAGTAATATAGGTAGAATCTCAGCTGTCAGACATTCATCATGTGGTTTAAGATGAAATTTTGGGTATATATACCTAACATTATTGTGCACTATATAAAAATAAAAAAATTTATTTTCAATGATTTAAAAAACCAAATTACCCTCATTATTTTTCAAGGGTATTTCAATTTGGGAAATATTTTATATTTTTTTTTAATTGTACCCCCTATGTTTTACTGCCCACTTCTAAAATTTCATTATCATCCGGTTTCAAACAAAAATATTAAAATTCATATTGTGATATGCATTCTGAACCACATGATAAAAATCTGACAGCTGGGATTCCACATATAGTACTATTCGTTGTAGTTGCCTAACTATTGTTAGCTTTATCCCATATAAAATTTCCTATATACAAGTACCTCGCTTTTTCCTATATATAAGGGCCTCGCCCTTATATAAATTTTTTTCCATATTTAAAATATTTAATTATATATTTTTTATTTATTTTTGGGTCGGGTCCAATCAAGTTTGGGTCCAATCAGGTTGAGAACTTGACTCAACCCAAACCGCCAATCTGAACCCGGACCTGATCGACCAACCCCATTGCCACTCCTATTGTGAGACCAACCTTCATCTCCAAATCCCATCCAGAATTCAACCATTAATGGTCACTTGGAAGTTCCATTAGAAAGACTTACGACACATTTGGTTACACTCAAATATCTTAATATTTTAGAATTTTAAATGATTCAAATGAATTTTAATACTCAAAGAGAAAATATATGTTTGATAGGTCAAAATATATGTTTGATATTGTTGGAAAACTCATTCCCAATAAGATTCTCTCTTTAGAAAAGCTACAAAATTCTGCATGCAAATCCATATGCATTTGGT